GCCATCTCCCTCCTGTTATCTAGGAACCTTGGGCGATAAAGGGGACCAAGCCCCCCCGGGAAGCCTGAACTGGCTCTCAGCCTCAGACATCCCAGCGCCTGGGAAAAGGGCAGCTGCCCTGGCACAACGTGGCCCAGGAGTCTGCCAGGGCGTTGAGGGCAAGACCAGTGCCCAGGCTGGGAGCTCAGGTCCCGCAGGGCCCGGCTCAGGGCAGCCAGGACACAGGGCGGTGGGTTCTGCTCCCATTGCGCCGGGAGGATTCCCAGCTCCTAAGTACAGGCGGCCCCAGCACTGGGCGCAGAGAATCCCAGCTGGTCATCACTGGGGGGCCTTGGGTTCTCAGAAAAAGAGTGCTTTCAATGCAAGACTCATCTAGAAGCACAGTATCACACAAAGATGCTGGGCCATCCAGAGGTCACCTTGAAACCAGCCCAGCCAAGCAGCTTCGAGCCTGTGTGAGGGCACGTGAAGGAATCACCCCCATGGGTGGCCACAGGCAGGTTGCCCAGGTTGGCAGACATGCTGTCCCGTATCTGCTGCTAACCTCAAACACACATTCTCTCCACCTGTGATAACTCACAACTTAAGAAACTGGTGATTGCATAAAGCTTGAGCTTCAGATACAATGGGGCTTTAATTTAGCACCATCACATGATACAGTGAGGAAACAGCAAGGAAAGGATTTTAACTGTCACAGAACAACGGGAAGAGGACAAATGGAGGTAATACACCGGCGGCATGTTTGCTGTCAGTCAAAGACTTTCCAGCACCATGGACACAAGGTCCTTCTCTCCCCTGGGCCAGGGCCTGGTGTGGACCCCGGGGACAACCCACAGGAACAGAGCACAGGGCACTCCTGCCCTCGTGGGGTCAAGACCCCAGTGAGAGACATAAACATGAAACAAACAAGAAAAGAACATGGGGAGTCCGAGAAACTAAGAGAGGGTCTGGGCATCTGCTGCTCCGGACCTGGGCCAGCCCGGGCCTCACGGATAAGCCAGTCTGAGAAGGAAGATCAGCCAGCTGGGCAAACTGCATCTATTTCCAGAGCGTCCAGGGCTCTGTGGTCCCAGGGTCACGGGCATCTGGAGAGAAGCTGGTCGGGGCAAGCAGGACAGTGTTACAGGTCTGGATTTGGACTTCATCAGCTTTGAAGTTCTGTCTCCAAGTTGTGAATTTAGTTTTGTTTTAGAATTCTCTGCAGGGGGATGTTCAAAATACTTAAACACTGTTGAGCAGACGCTCTAACCAGTGAGAATGGTGACACGGCCCGGACAGGCCCACAGAGGCCCTGAACCCTGTTCTCTGGGGGGAGGCGGAGGCAGCCAGATTGCAGAGGGCAAACAGAGTGGGGGCCAGCAGCTGTTTGATAACTGGGTCTGAAGCTTTTGGATTTTTTAAAGAATTATTATTATTTTTGGCTGTGCTTGATGTTCGTTGTAGCACGTGGGCTCTTTACTGCAGGGCGCATGCTTCTCTAGTTGCCCCCACGGCATGTAGGATTTTAGTTCCCCAAACAGGGATTGAACCTGTGTCCTCTGCATTCACAGGCAGATTCTTAACCACCGGACCACCAGGGAAGACCCACTTTTGCTATTTTAACAGGCTGGGTTCAGTCCAGGAAAGTCAGCCTTGGCTTTGAGCATAAGGAATAATCCATACTGAATTCCAGGCCAAGGTAATTTATGGAAATATTAACATTTCCTGTTTTGTTTTTCCTTCACTCATTCCAAGCAGGTAGCAAAGCCATTTGAGATTTCCTTGCCTCTGGGATTTTTCCAGAGTGGAAAGCAGAAGCAGCCTGAGGTCACTGGCTCCTGAGGCCTGTTGGGAAAGTAAACTCTTGGCTGAATAGAGTTCAAGAGTGATAAGGCCTTGGCAGGGGTGGGGCGGTGGGGGTGTGTTCACCACAGGGCAGGGGGCGCTTCCCTAGACCATAGAGATTTTCCAGACCGTGAGGTGAGCACCCCTAGGATGAGGGTGACTGTCCTGTCACAAGGAATGACAGCCTTTGCCACTTGCCTAAAGCCATCTCCCCCTTCTTGTCCTAGAGGAGGGTTCCCCTGGAAGGTCACCCCAGCCCAGCTCTCGGGGGGGGGAGGACTCTGATGAACAGAAGCCAGCAGAGGCAGAGGTGAGGTGAACCCCAGCGCTCCTTGGCTTACTCCCGTGCAGAGGTGGTGCTTGGCGCCTCGGCTGCCGTCCTCAGATCCAGAGAGGAAAGACCCTGACCCAGAACCACACCATCGCCCAGTGCTGAGCGAAAGCCTACACCTGCACACCTCCAGATCTCTGCCGTGTGAGAAATGCAAATCTCTGCCGTTGAGCTACTGTCAGCCAAGTGTTTTATCCTGAAAAGCATCTTCAGTGACGCAGAGTAACTGTGGGAATGCTCCTGGATGTCCTCTGTTTTCCCTGCAGACCTACTCTCCACCCTTTCCATCCTGCTGGCCTCCAGCAAGACTGTCCTTCAGGGATGATCCTGCATGACAGCGTCCCTGGTTCTCTGGCTTCCTGGTGGGGTCAAAGCCAAAGACGGGAGGAGAGAGGAGTCGAGTATTTATTCTCTGGGTGCCNCCCCCCGAGAGGCTGCTGTGGGTTGACACAAACTACTATGTATAAAATAAGCTACAGGGGGTAATTCCCTGGCAGTCCAGTGGTTAAGACTCTGTGCTCCCATTGCAGGGAGTATGGGTTCAATCCCTGGTCAACTCCTGGACAAAACAAGGTCAAGGAACTAAGATCCTGCATGCCTCAGGGAGGGAAAAAAAAAAGCCACAAGGACACATTGTACAACATGAGGAATACAGCCAATATTTAACAATAACTACAAATATAGCTAATATTTAACAACAACTATAACAACTATAAATATAAATAACATTAAAAATTTATGAATCCCTATATTGTACACCTATAACTTATATAATACTGTACATCAACAGTACTTCAATTAAAAAAAAACAAAGAGTTCTGAAAATGGATGGTGGTGATGGCTGCACAACAGTATGACTGTACTTTGTACCTTCTGAATTGTACACTTAAAAATGATTAAGATGGTAAATTTCATGTTATGCATATATTTTAGTACAATTTTGAAAAGTGAAAAAAAAAGTGATACCCCTTCACGGCTGTAATTTTAAAAATGGAAAATAAGTTTTGGTGAGGCTGTGTGGAAATTGGAATCTTTGTACATTACTGGTGGGAATGGTGCAGCTCCTGTGGAAAACAGTCTGGCAGAGTCCCAAAAGATTAAACAGAGAGCCACCATGTGACTCAGCAATTCCACTCCTAGGTACACAATTCCTAATCTTTGGCCCTGCATCCAGTTTAGGACTAACTGCAGAAAGCTAAGTGTGTACTCCTAATCAGTCTCAAAGGATGCCCAGATTCTAGTTGGCCCTCCTCCAGCTTTCGTGTGCCCACACCTCCTACGGGTGCATCTGAAGCTCTCCACTGTAAAGCATTTCCTCTCCTCTGCTTGCCTTTGAGTCTCTGCCAAACGCAAGTGATGCTGCCTCACTACCTGGGTATAGCAAGCTCTCAATGAACAATCTTTTTGGTCCTCATTTGGGTGGTCTTTACTGATTTCCACAAAGGCCAAGCTCCTATTGGCGGCCTCCTCCTTCCTTGTCACCCTCCCCGGGGGCCAGGTAATCATTCTTGCATTTCCAGCCCCACTGACCTTAGCCCTGAGCACCTCCATCTCCTTATGGTTTCCCTAAGCCCTCGCTACACCTTTAGAAAGTCTCTTTGTTAGACTCTCCAGTGAGACTCCTGGCAGAATAAAATCAAAGTTCAAATTTCAATCTGTAATAGCAAAATAAAGAAACCTACACTTCTTTCCTGCCTGTGTTTAGGGCTGAGAATCACTTCATTGCCAGAAGCAAAAAGCGAGTGGGATGATAGATGGATAACAGCCCCAAAGTCCCAGCAAGAGAATGGGTACATGCAGTGTGGTGTATGAGACTTTCCTGGCGGTCCAGTGGTTAAGATTCTGCCTTGCTAAAGCAGGGGTTGTGAATTCCATCCCTGGTTGGGGAACTAAGATCCTACACGTCAAGCAGCATGGCCAACAGATTAAAAAGAAAAAAGTTTTTTTAAGTGTGGTGTATTACACAATATTGTAAAGCAACCATACCTCAAAAAGATTTTTTTTAAAGTGTTATATACTTATGAAGTGCAACACCACTCAGCAATACAAAGGAACACACTGCTGATACACTCAGGAAGACATTTGGTAGAATGGGAAGAATCCAGACACAAAGACAGCATACTGTATGGTTTCATGCATATAAATTCTAGAACAGGTAAAACTAATCTATGGTGAAAGACATCGGGACAGTGGTTGCTGGTTGGCTCAGAGAAGGGGAAGATGGAAGTCGGCACGAGGAAACTCTGGGGAGTAATGATATTATTTTACATCTTGGCTGTGGGGTTTGTTACACTATCATCTCCATATGTCAGCACTTAATCTGTTCACTTTGGATCTGTGCGTTTCACCACGTGCAAACTGTATTCATTATATCTTACCTTTGATGGTAAAGAGGGTTGGGATTTGACCCCCTCAAGAGGAGGAGCTCCCAACCTGAGGAGACTGCCTTCTGAGGTCCCGCCTGGAGGAAGAGGGCACAGTCCCAGAGGCGCGGCCCGAGCCCTGACACGACCCCGTGCGGGGCCAGACCCCAGGAGGCGGCTGGGCCCCCGCCAGCTGACCCGGGCTCCCGGGCGGGCCCCGTCTCCTCTCCTGAGGGACGGTCTCTGAGGCACACCTGTCCGCGGGCTGACTCCCGCACGGCCCCNCGTGCTCTCCCACCGGCCGCGCCCCAGCCCACTCAGGCTCGGCGGCTGCCTCCTCGCATTTGTGCTTCACCAGGGCGCCCTCCAGCGGCCCCTGGCCTCTCCCCCTGCCTCGTGCCATCCCGGCTCGCTCCACCAGGCCTGTGCCTCGACACCGGCCCCACCCAACAGCTAGCAGACTGGTAGATCACAGCTTAATGTCTCCCTCAGAGTGGGGCCTCCTGCTTTGGTATTAGTAATAATAACAGCAATGATTATGATAACTCCTTGGCTGGTGGTAATGTATATTTTACTGTGTTTTTTTTTTAAACTGTTCCCCACTCCTTTCCCACGTAGGCTCATAAGGCAGAACTTTGTGTTTCTTTCTTTTGTTTGTTCTGTCCCAGCGGAGGCCTGGTAAGCTCTGGCTGATAAGATGGATGAACTTGAACAGGTGGTGGGTTTCCTATGGACAGGGCTCACGCTCTGCATTCTGTTTCATAACCTGCTTTCTCACCTAATGCATTGTGGCCGTCCCTTCCTGTCACTGGCAGTCCTTTAGAAAGCACAGAGCGCCCCACAGGCAGTCAAAAAGGAAAAGTACCAGATGGGCCAGGCCTTTTCATGAAGTAGGACCTGTACTTTAGGCATCCCCATTTTACATATTAATACTTACAAAAGGGATCAGAGAGGCCGAGTAACTTGCCCAAGGCCCCCACAGCTGTTTGTGCCAAAACCTGTGAACCACCACACTAGACTCATCAGTGCAATGGAAATGAAAAATAGCCATGAGATACCATTTTACCCATGTGTTTTGGGGTGCTTGCCCTGTGCCTGATGGCCTCACCTTCAAATTTCTCACTCCCCAGTCTCCCAGTTGCTGGGAAAGGGTCCTACTGCCCACCGGAAGTAAGCCTTCTTGCCTCCTGCTTTTCCACCTGGTGCAGCCTCCACCAGCTCTTGCCGGGACAACAGCAGGGGCCCCCTAGCTGGCCCTGAGCCCAGTCCTGCCTTTCGATGCCATGTGCTCAATTCTAAGGGCAAGATGCCTGGTGGGGGGGCCTGGCTCCACATGAATGGGCAGTGGGTGGCTTGCCCTCTGAACCATGCGGCACACAGCTCACGTGGCCACCGCTGACACTGAACCGAGCCTTCAGTGAGCCGCCTTGGTCATCCCGAGACGAGGGGTGCATCCTCAGCCCACCGGTCACCCGTGCCTCACCATGCTGCAGTCCCTGCCCCTCCTCCTACGTGACCACACTGCCCATGGGGTGCTGAACCACTGCAGACCAACTCGATTACTTGCCCAAGGTCCTCCAGACTATGAGAGACTGAGCTAGGGCTCAGATCCTGCCCAGACCTGGCTGCTGCTCGAAGGGCCCCTCCAGAAGCAGGGCCTGGAGGAGGAAACCTGACTGTCCTTTCCCCTTCACTGGTTGAGGGCCACCTTGTTCGGCCCATCTTTACCCTTCTCACTGGCCCAAACTCGGCCATGGTTGCAGCTGCTGCCATCCCAGGCCCTGATGCCAGCCTTGCTCTGGCACATCCCACCCAGTGGGCACATGCCCAGGAAAGGGACTATCACCTCAAGGTCTTCAGATAGCAGCCTGGTGCACAGGGGTATAATAGGGAGCCCTGCAGCAGGCATCCCACACCTCTCTGAAGGCAGCACCATGAACTTCCTTTGGCTTCTCTCCTGCTGCGCCCTCCTGGGCACAGCCTTTGGTAAGTACCTGGGCAGGCAGAGGCCAGAAAGGCTGTCTCCCCTTCCACCAACTGTTGGAAGGGATGCTGGCTCCACCAACCCCCAGATAAGCTAGGGGCAGTTCCCAGGGTCCCTGCTCTCACTCAGCCATGCACGGTGCTGTGCGGATCTCTCTCCCTCTCTGAGCCTCATGTCTCTAGAATGAGGACACTGGGAAGACTGGACCACACCATCCAGTGTGAGGTCCCCAGGGTGGAGGTGTGCAAGGAGGGTGGGCCCTGTGCAAGGAGGGGGAGCGGTTCTAGAGGGCCAGAAAGTTCTGTGAAGAGTTAGTGGCTCCCAAGCAGACTCAGATGATGAGCAAGTGGGCGGGCGTGGCTTGGCCCCCATCAGCTCTTTCAGGCCCTGAACCAGCCCTTTTAAACTTTTAAATTTGTGTTCACTGTGTGTCAGGCACAGAGTAAGTTCCTGCTTTGCCTTAGTAGTCAAAGCATCTTTCATCTTTATGATATACCAACTCTATGAGGTTGCCTTACGATCCCCATTTTGCTGATGGGAAAACTGAGTGAGTAAGCTGGGCAGTGTGATAGGGCTGGGTTCAAACCCACAGAGCCCAGCCTGCTAGCCTGTCCTCTGGTGCTGCCACCACATTGCACTCGGTCTGCTGGCCTGTGCTGTCCCTGGGGTATTCCTGGGGCCATGGGTCCTGGGTGAGACCTTGGCCTCCATGCCTCACCCCACACTCCCTCCCCAGGCTGCGGGGTCCCCGCCATCCAACCTGTGCTGAGCGGCCTCTCCAGGATCGTCAACGGAGAAGAAGCTGTCCCGGGCTCCTGGCCCTGGCAGGTGTCCCTGCAGGTGAGGGGGGTTCTGTGCGTGAGGGGGCAGGCACCAGGGGGTCTGCCGGGCGGGGGGCTGCTGCCTGGGTCGGTGCTGCTGGTGTCCAGCACGCGCTGACCCTCCCCATCTTCTTCCAGGACAGAACCGGCTTCCACTTCTGCGGGGGCTCCCTCATCAATGAGAACTGGGTGGTCACCGCCGCCCACTGCGGTGTCACGTGAGGGCCCCGGGTCCCCAGGAAACCCTTTGGGGTGGTTTCTTCCAGCACTGAGGACTTGTCCTTTAATGCCATTTCCCAGTTTCATTTTGTTTGTTTCTCCTCCCCCGGGGTCTCCTTCTCTCCCAGGCGAGGGTCTCCCCTGGAGTGGAGGGCAGGCTGCCCCTAGCCAAGCTGGGCCACCAGCAGCCTTCGAGCCCCAACCCCGAGGTTCTTACCTGCCTGCCCCGAAGCCGCCCTGCATTCTCGGCAGCCCGAGCCTCGGCAGCCACATCCGGCCACCCGCCTCCCAGGTTCTAATATTGAGATGTGCAGCAAATCCAGGTCCTGCCGGTCTCCCGGGGTCGCGGGGAAAACACGCGACAGGCGGGACCGCACAGTGGATTCCGAGCTTCAAGCTCCGACCCACACCACACCCCTGTGAGCACGCACAAAAGACACGCAAACTCTCACACATGCTTGTGCCTCGACGCACATGCGCACTCCACTCCCCACCTACCCACCTCCAGTGGGAACCTCTCTTTTCTCTGGCTCTCTGCAGAACATCCGATGTTGTCGTGGCTGGGGAGTTTGACCAGGGCTCAAGCTCTGAGAGCATCCAGAAGCTGAAGATTGCCAAGGTATGGTGGCCCCCCGGGGTAGTCCAGGTGTGACCCCAGTTAGGGCGGTCCCTCGGGAGTGGCCACCCACACGAAGTCCCAGACACTCCAGCTCCCCTCGGTCACCCTGATACCCCATCAGGATGTAGCAAAGCAGAAGGCCAGGTGTGTGAGGCTCCAGGAAGGGAAGGTCTGCACCTTGAGCCTGGGCTGCAGTTCCTGGCCTTCTCCCCAGACCCCAGAGGCGGCTGTTTGTCTCCCCCCACCCACCCCCACACAGGTTTTCAAGAACTCGAACTACAACTCGTTAACCATCAACAACGACATCACCCTGCTGAAGCTGTCGACGGCGGCGAGCTTCTCCCAGACTGTGTCCGCCGTGTGCCTGCCCAGCTCCAGTGACAGCTTCGCCGCCGGGACAATGTGCGCCACCACGGGCTGGGGCCTGACTCGATACACCAGTGAGTGAGGGGTGGCCACGGGCCACCATGGGCGGGCTGGCTGGGAGGTGGGGAGCACAGTCGCTGACCACCCGCTCTGCCCTTCCAGATGCCAACACCCCTGACCGGCTGCAGCAGGCGTCCCTGCCCCTCCTGTCCAATACCAGCTGCAAGAGATACTGGGGCACTAAGATCACCGACACCATGATCTGTGCGGGCGCCAGCGGTGTCTCCTCTTGCATGGTAGGGCCCCCCAGCCCCGGGAGGGTTCAGGCCAAGGGCTTGGGCAAAGAGGGAGGAAATGGAAGCCGTAGGCAGCCCTCTTTCAGGGCCTGCCATTCTCTTCTGGAGCATTCCTGCCAGAGTAGCTGGGAAAACAGGGCTCCTGGAGAACCCCCAGTGGCCTCAGCAGAGGGGCACAAGAGCGGGGGCCTCTGCTCTCAGAGCTGCCGTGTTACAAGATGCCCTTGATATCCGCATCTGAGCAATGGCACCTCCTGACCTCGTGCAGTGCACAGCCTGAGCAGCAGAGCATGGTGGCCCTAAAGGCTCCCGAAGGGGGTTGGCAGACCTTCCTCTCTCCCGGTGGCCCGGTGGCCAGCACCACCCTGTACTTTCCTCCTGTCAATCAAACCTGCTCTATTGAGCCTCTGTTATAGGACCCCAGGGGTGACCCAGGCTTCCAGGGGCACAAACCATAGGAGCTGCTGAAGTTTCTTTCACAACCCCTCTAATATGCACATGCTGAGCTTCCACTGGCTGTCCAGTCTGGGACTGGGCACTGGGAACAATGTTCACAAGTCTCTGGGCTGCCAGCTCCAAGCCCCCTCCTCTCTGTCCTGCAGGGTGACTCTGGCGGCCCCCTGGTCTGCAAGAAGAACGGAGCCTGGACCCTAGTGGGCATCGTGTCCTGGGGCAGCAGCACGTGCTCCACATCCACCCCCGGCGTGTATGCCCGCGTCACTGCTCTCGTCAACTGGGTGCAGCAGACCCTGGCCGCCAACTGAGCCCCCAGCTTCACTCTGGCCTCCCTGCCAACCTTGCTCCTACGTAGCCCCAATAAACTGGTGGAAGACATGTTGACAGTGTCTGTGTCCTGTGCTGGGGTTTCTGGGAGTTTGTTCTTCTCCTGAACTTGGACCTTCACTGAACCAGGTGGTGGGGGTGTCCAGGAGGGCTCCTCGTTGGTGCGCCTCCCACAAGTGGCCAGGAGGGGTGCACACAGATGAGGGAGGACCTTGGCCTCCTGCCTCCCCCTGCGGGGTCCTCTTCATCGACCCTTGGCTCCTGGTGTTCAAGGCCTGCCCTGGGGAGGGGGACCTGAGGGTGGAGTCTGGTGCTGGCCTCACACACCTGTGACTCCAGGAAACCTTCCCAGGAGCGGCCCCCAAGGGCTGTTTCTTTCCCAAGCCACGCTCCAGTCAGGTGCTTCTCAGCCCAAGGTCTTCTGATAAGGAGGGGATGGCGAGGCAGGCTATGATTGGTGGGCCAGGGCAATATATTGGGGGTCCCTCGGGCAGACCCCATCTCCCCTGCTGAGCCGCACACCATGGCCCTTCTCTGGGTTGTCCTTGGCTTCTTCCTCTTTGGCAGCAGCTTCGGTAAGTGCAGGGCTCAGGCAGGCCTGGCAGCCCCAGGTCAAGCCTTGCCCCTGCCCTGGCCCCCAGCCCCAGAAGCAGGGGATGGGAGGGTCCAAGTCCTCGTACCTTAAACCACCCCTGCCACCCATCCCTCCAGGTGCCCCTCTGGCCCTCCTTGGGCACCTACACCTGGCTCCCCACTCCTCCGCTGGGCCTGGGGTCCTCCTGCCACCTGGAGGTCCCTTGGGCTCCTGACTTGGTCTCCTCCATTCGCTCAGAAGCCTTGGGGTGGTCTGGGTTCCTCTGCCCTCCAAACGTGCCACCGAGCCATCTGAACTCTGCCTCAGGAATGTTCCCCAGGTCCATCCATCTTGCCCGGCCCCTCCACCCTCTGGGTTTGGACATACTCCTGGGTTGGTGCCACCCCACCTATGGTAATTGTTCAGTCGCTCAGTCGTGTCCAATTCTTTGCGACCCCATGGATTGCAGCATACCAGTCTTCCCTGTCCTTCACCATTTCCCAGAATTTGCTCAAACCCATGTCCATTGAATCAGTGATGCCATCCAATCATCTCATCCTCTGCTGCCTCCTTCTCCTCCTGCCTTCAGTCTTTCCCAGCATCAGGGTCTTTTCCAATGAGTCAGTTCTTCGCATCAGGTGGCCAAAGTAAAGGGTAATACTCTCACCCAAGTCTGCTTCCCCTGAAGACTCAGAGGCCATGAGAGCACCCAGGACATCCTAGCCTCTGGGAAAGGATCCTGGACTCAGAGGGGATGGACACTCCCCTCAAGGCACACAGCAGGCCGGGGAGCCTGGGCCCCAATTGCAGAGACCCTCCGCTTCAGGGACCGTCCACAAGGGGGCTAAATTTCCTGCAGCAGACAAAGCTCTGGGTGCCAGGGTGCCACGGAGGCCTGGAAGAGCCACGTCTGCACCCTGATCCCCCTTGAGGCACCATCTACAGACCAGCTGCCCCGTCTCTGCCCCTCAGGCTGCGGGGTCCCCGCCATCGACCCTGTGCTGAGTGGCCTCTCCAGGATCGTCAACGGGGAGGACGCCGTGCCCGGCTCCTGGCCCTGGCAGGTGTCCCTGCAGGTGAGGGGGTGCTGAGGAGGAGCAGGTTAGACATGGGGGAGCTGAGGCGGGAGAGGCAAGACTGACTCTCTCCCACCCCCTCCCCAGACCAGCTCCGGGTTCCACTTCTGCGGAGGCTCCCTCATCAGTGAGGACTGGGTGGTCACCGCCGCCCACTGTGGGGTCAGGTGAGGCCCCACTTCACCTGTTCAAAGGGACCACCTTCACCTCCCAGCCCCAAGCAGGCTCAGGGAGTGGGCACGGGGCTGCTCGGGGGGCAAGGGGCTGGGGGCGGCTGCTCTTGTTTCCCACCTGCAGGCAGAACAGTCTCCAGGAAAAGCCACCCTCCACCCCCCCCAGCACCCTGGCCCCCAGACCCCAGCTTGGTCCAGGACAGTGGGTCTGGGCCTCCGCCTTCACAGTACAGGCAGAGAAACTGAGGCCCAGGGAGAACAGGGGTGCCCCAGGGTCCCCGCATGATGGAGCCCAGGTGGGCTTGCCAGCCTGGCACAGTGCTCGGGACTCTGCGGGGGCGGCCGTGAGCTTGTGCTCCGTCTGTGGCTTCCTTTCTAGGCAGGGTCACCTGGTGGTGGCCGGGGTGTCCGACCAGGGCTCCGAGGAGGAGGCCGGCCAGGTGCTGAGAGTCGCGGAGGTACTCACGGTGGGCGGGCAGCGCGGGGAGGTGGGGGTGAGCGCTGGGGCGGGGAGGAGGGGGTCGCTGGGGGGGGGTGGTCATGGACTGAGGACCCTGACCAGCGGCTCCGCTTCACCCCGCTGGCACCTCTCTAGGCTGACTTTCTGTTCTTCTCCTTGCCAAACACAGCTCCTTTACAAACACTCAAGGTTGTTTTGCTCATTGTAGGAAAATGCAAAATATGTCACATGCCACCCCTCCCCCCCCAATTTGGTCTGTTCGGCTTCATCTGTGTTCCCTCAACACCCTTTGCACCCCCACCTCCCAACTGCACGCCTGCGCCCCCCTTGCCCCCGCCCCTGCGGCCTGCCCAGCCCCCGCCGTCCCGCGCAGGTCTTTGAACACCCGCAGTGGGACCTGCGCGCCGTGCGCAACGACGTGGCCCTGCTGAAGCTGGCGGCGCCCGCCCGCCTCTCCGCAGCCGTGGCCCCCGTCTGCCTGCCCAGCGCCGACGCCAGCTTCCCCGCGGGCTCCCTGTGCACCGTCACCGGCTGGGGCAAGACCCGGTACAACGGTGAGTGTCTGTGAGGACTGCTCAGGGCCCAGACTCCTTCTGTGCTTCCAGCTAAGTCCTGAGCACAATCGGAAATCGCAACAATCAACCTTCCCTTTCTTTACGTAAAGAAAGTGAAAGTGAAGTCACTCAGTCGTGTCCAACTCTTTGCGACCCCATCGACTGTAGCCCACCAGGCTCCTCTGTCCATGGGGTTTTCCAGGCAAGAGTACTGGAGTGGGTAACCATTTCCTTCTTGAGATGATCTTCCCGACCTAGGGATTGAACCCGGGTCTCCTACATTGTAGGCAGACGCTTTACTGTCTGAGCCACTGGGAAAGTCCACTTAACCATCTTAATTAAAACCCTATCAAGCAAAATAAAAAATGAAGTTTAACAATATATACCTGACCAGTTTCCGAAGAAACACCTAAGTTCCAGCACCTAAGTGTCGCCCCCTCTAATATGCATGGAGGCAGACTGAGACGGGTGGGTGCGCCCAGCACCCCTGAAGTCAGGCTGGAGCACCCAGGTTGCCCCTCCCTCCCTGACCCCAGCCGCCTCAGGCTCTTCCTCGCATCCTGCTGGTCCTTTAACAGGCTGCGAGCAACCAGGAAAGGACAGAACGGGGAGGTGCTCCCTCGTGGGTCCCCCCAGCGCCCCCAGGCAGAGGACTGGGGAGGAGGGCCAGCAGGCAGGGCTTGCTTGACCAGCTGTGCTGCGAGCGCAGACGCACTGCCTGGCCTGGAACCGAGAAGGACCGCCTCCCAGACTCTGGGAAGGTGGCACTCAGCACCCATGACCGTCGTGACGGAGGTGGCCCATGCAGCGGGAGGGCAGGGTTCCGGCGTGCGCTGGTCTCCTCTCCCTGGGCACTGACCCCATGCCCTCTATCCTTCCAGCCTTCGATACCCCTGATAAGCTGCAGCAGGCCACCCTGCCCATCCTCTCTAATGCTGACTGCCAAGAGTTCTGGGGCAGCAAGATCACCGACGTGATGATCTGCGCAGGAGCCAGTGGCATCTCCTCTTGCATGGTATGGCCGGCTACCCTGCCCACCTTCACTGGCTCCCCCTAGTCAGGCCAGGAGGGCCGTCCCCTCTGCCACAACCTCCTTACCCTTACGCCCTGCCCGGTGTCCCAGTGAAGGCGTGGACCAGAGCTATCAGAGGCTTCTGGTGAGAGCTGGCCCTGACCAGGTGTGGTGTGAGGCTTCCAGGGGTGTTTAATTTCACACCATGCTCACAAAGCGGACATTGCAGGCTGTTTTATAGGTGACGGGAGGCTGAGAGGCCCAGCCCCTGCAGGCCCCCCAGGAGTTGGGGGCAGAGCAGGGGCTGCCCTTTGAGCAGGTCCAAGTGCCCTTGGTTTGCACCACCTGGGCTCGGCCAGGTCCGGGCACGCTGGGGCCTGGCACCTTCTTTCTGGCTTGGACAGTCCTGTCTCCTCCTGCAGGGCGACTCTGGCGGCCCCCTGGTCTGCCAGAAGGACGGAGCCTGGACCCTGGCAGGCATCGTGTCCTGGGGCAGCAGCCGGTGTAGCCCATTCTTACCTGGTGTGTATGCCCGGGTCACCAAGTTCATACCCTGGATTCTGGAAGTTCTGGAGGCTAACTGAACCTCTGCCCCACCCCAGCTCCCATCTGTGTAAAACCCAAATAAAAGTGCCTGCATCTTCACCTCTGCGTCTTCGCTGGGCTGGATGAGGGGTGGGAGGGTAGCCACTTTTCCTGAGGACCCTCGAGTTCAGAGCTGAGAGGGCTGGCAGATCACCCAGCCCTATATCCTTCTTCACAGAGATGGGGAGTGAGGCCCAGATTCACATGCACCATGGTGACAGCTGGTCCCCTCCCGGGAGGAGGGCATAGCAACCCACTCCAGTGTTCTTGCCTGGAGAATCCCATGGACAGGAGCCTGGTGGGCTACAGTCCACGGGGAGTACAGGCCACAAAGAGTCAGACGTGACTGAAGCAACTCAGCACACTCTGGTCCCCTATCTCCCAACTTGGAAGCCAAGTCTCAGTGTAATTCAGATGGAACACCTCTGGAGAAGTTGCACAAGCTGAAATTAAGAGCTGCTTTCTAAGGGCTAAGTTCTGGACAAGGGCTGAGAAGGAGGGTGTCTCTGCATGGAGCCCCGAGCCTCCCAGGGGTGCCCTCAGTGGGAGGCTCTCTGTCTTCAGATGGGGGCCCCAGCAGGGCTCACTGGCTCCTGGAGCGGCTCCCACCCCTGCACCCGCCTTCCCCTCGGCCACTGCCGGGGACCGGGGTGATTTCCATCAGACCACAGCACTGGCCACACGGCACAGAGCCTTCCTTGGCCATGGGGCTCCGCCAGACGCGGCTCTTCAGCCTCCTTCCAGCAGCCCAGGATCCTCTGCCTCCTCTCCAGGCCCAGCCCTGCTCCCCCAGGCCTTCGTTTTCTTTTGAAGAGACCTACTTTCTCTTCGCCCTTCCGAGAGACCAGCCACAGCCTCAGCCTGAAACCCCTGGAAACCCCTCAACCCGCCAGCCCACCTGTGGCACCTAGCCTCTCATACCTCAGGAGGGTGCTTTTCATTTTTAAATTTTATTTAAATGTAGACTATTAGTCAAATGATTGGAAAATCAATAATGAAAAATAGTTTCTTAGGGTTTTCTCCTGGTGCAGAGAGAACATACCCCCCAGCCACGCTTGCCCTGTGTGTGGGGGGGGGGACGTGGCCCCCTCACTGGTCAGCCCAAGGGGTCCCCTGAGGCCGTGTGGGTGGTGGGGCCTGTGGATCCCAGCCTGCCCCGAGGGCTGGTGCCCCGGGCCTGCAGTGCACTCGGGAGAGACCACCAGCCCTCGTGGCCTTGGCTCTGGGCCCGGCTCTGCTGGGGCTCCGCCGGGAGGCCCGCCCCACCTCCTGGCCCGTCATAAATACACACGCCGCCCTGCGCAGTCTGGGCGCCCGGCCCCGCGCAGTGCAGCAGCTCTCCGGGCTCACGCCACCCTGCCCTTCTGCCCTCGCCCCTCCGCGGGCGGCGCTCAGGCGGCAGCCAACTGGCCCAGGACGCGGCGGAACTGCTGGGTGCTGTGGCCCAGCTCCTTGACCCGGTCCACCATGTCCTGGGCGGCGGCGGGCGACGGGTACTGCAGGGCGGCAGCCTTGGTGGTGGCCACGATGCCGCGCAGCAGCTCGCAGAGCAGGTTGCTGTAGTGGGTCACCTGGCTGCGCACGTCGGCCGCCTGGGCCTGCCGCGACAGCGTGTCCCCGATGAACACCAGCTTGTGCGCGCTGAGGATGACGAACTTGCTGTGAGCCACGAAGATCTTGGGCGGCTGGTTGGTGGCCACGGCGGTGAAGAAGGCGTCCACGGCGTTGGTCAGCGTGCTCAGGTTGGCCTCACACTGCTCCAGGTAGAAGAGCAGCAGCTGCCGGTCCGAGGGCCCCAGGCCGCCCGGCCGCCCCGGCGCCCCGGCCTGAGCCGGCGTCCAGCTGGCCAGGTCGTGCTCTATGGGCCGCGACACCTCTTGCTCCAGCCGCTCGAACTGCTTCAGCTGGCGGAGAGGGACAGCAGAGTGAAAAGCAGGCCGCGGAGCAGAAGGGACGGAGCCCAGCAGGAGGGCGAGCGCCCCGGTCAGAGGCCCGCACTGGCCTCCCCGGTCCCACCCGCCCAGCCTGCCCTCAGACGGTCTCCAGACAACCTTCCCACTCAGCTCAAGAGGTGGCAGGCCGCGTGCGTCACAGCTTTGAAAAGACAAAACTGCTAGAGAGGGGGACGGGATGGCTGAGTGGCGGCTGGGGTGAGGGGTGGCAGTCTCCTGGTTTGGATGCTGCTGTCCTCAGATGCCATCCCTGGCGGGGTAGGGGAGCACTGAGAAAAGGGAACGCACTCGACACTTTCTTTCCAACTTCCCATCAATCTCTAAGTATTTCAAAATGAAAAGTTAAAAAACTATTCTCCTTAACATATGCAGTGTAAAAAGATTCAAATACACGTGGCAGAAAAGAAGAGAGTTATCACTGGAGTTTCATGCACCCTGAAATCTGTTAAATCTCTGGTGAATTATCCTTTTAGGACTATACACTGAAGTCGTTGCAGATGAAACGACGTAAGGTCTTCACAATGATGTGGCAGACAAGTTGCTGCCCTGAGAATGACTGGGGCTGAGGAAGCCCGGGGTTCTTTTTCTCCAATGAGTTTACCTGGGGGGGTTATTTTCTTCAATTTTATACATGCATTAAATCTCTCACATAAAAATGTTAAGCAAAACCAAAATCTCATAGTATTTGCCTATTTCAGAAAAAATTCCCACCATTAACTAATGAATATTCTACAAAGGTGTTTTCCTTTAAACACAAATAGTCCCTTTCCCTCTTGAATTAGAAAACTGGAGGACTTCCCTGGTGGCCCCGTGGTTGAGACTTTGCTTCCACTGCAGCGGGTGCAGGTTTGATCCCTGGTTGGGAAACTAAAATCCTACAAATGGCCCCCTCTTCCCCCAAACACAACCCCAGGAAAAGATAAAAACTGGAAACATACAGTGTACTATGTATACATATATTAAATATCTATCTGTATATATATATATATATATATAGCTTACAATATACATTAAATATGCATACATATTATAACTTACCTTGAGCACCCAACAATAATGGGCCATGCACTTCCTGTCCGTGAGTACACATAAGCAACATGATAAAAATCCCCAGCAGTAGCAGCTCTGGCCTGGGCGTCAGTGGCGTGGACTGACAAGTCCTCACCACAAGCTGGTTCTGACTGGGTGGCTGTGACCGGCCCTGCACAGACTCAGGTTTCAGGCTTTACTTTATTAGCAAACCACTGTGACACTGACCCTTCCTAGCACTTGAAACCCTGACTTTCCCTCTTAGCCGGATACTTGGTGAAACTCACTTGGTTCTCTTGTCCAGCGTGAGAATATGCTCATTTTTTGTGGCTTTGTCTCCAGTGAGTCCTTTCAATCTTTGACAGTTTAACAGCTACATCATGTTCTACTGTCCGAATGGCCACACTTTATTCAGCCTACACTCCACTGGTAGGTGTTTGGTGGTGGTGGGCTCTCCAGAGTTTTCACTGGTGTGGATGTGGAACAACAAACACTCCTGTCAACACATTTTATGTTCCTGTGCCCCTCTCTTGGAGACTCAAGATCTTTAGTTTCTCAAACACGCTCCTTTTACTTCAGCTTCTAGTAATTTATCTAAGTGACTGACCAGGTGTATGAAGAGATTTGTAGTCAGCACAGATTTGTTTACAAAAGTAACTCTGGGAACAAACTAAATGTTCACCAACAGGAGTCTGGTTAAGTAAACGCTCTAAGAGCGCAGCAGCAGGCAGAGAGACACATGTGGCACATGTCCACTTCCTAAGTCAGTGGGGACTCCGTTCACAGCCAGTCATTAACACCTATACCTTGACTGCACCTGTTCTACGTGCCCAGCACCTCCTGAGCATTATATACTGTTTACCCACTTAATTCTCACACTGACCCCAAGATGGGTTTAACTATGTTCCCTACTTTGCAGCTGGGGAAACGTGGCTTTGAAAACCACACCCCAAGTCCCCGGTCTCAGGGTGAACCTGGAGGGCTCTCTCTGAGACCACCCTTCCCCATGCTCAAGGAATGGGAGATGAGGGAAACTTTCTGGGTGATATTTTCTGTGTTCATTTTTTACCAGAGTATATTTTAATTTTTAAAATCTTCATAATCAGAATAAAACTCCCTTTTAAAGAAATCCATTTCCTATTCTATGGAAACAAGCCAAAATATGAGGAAAATTCTAGGTCCTTAGATAAACACAGCAGTGTTTTTCACAATAAGAAAAACGGGGTACAAACTAAACATTCAACTATAACTGATGTAGGCTGACTTTAAAAACAATTTATGGTCAATATTTAATGCCACGGAGACGTCCTGAGATGAAAGCAGATGTAACTGTTTACATTCACGTCTCAGCCATGGACAGAGGCCCCTTCCGAGGCCGGAGCAGGACTGGAAACCAGGCCCAGAGCGTGGCCACCGCCCCCGAGGGTGAGCGTCTTCTTTTTGCTTTCACACTTCTCTGCGTGTGCTAAGATTCCTACCACGAGGACTGAGAGCAACCTAAACACAAGCCGCACTGACACACGGGGACAGTCACGCGGGAGAGCGGGGCGGGGTGGGTCTGGGGAGCCCCGGGAGACTCAGCTCGCAAGACAGACTCTCAGGACGGCGGCGCCAGGAGAGGCTGCGAGTGGGGGTGCCCTCACCTGCTGCAGCTCCAGCTGGCCCTTCCCTTGCCTCATGATGTTGCCCTTTTCCAGCAGCTCCTTCTGGGTCTTCTCAAATTCTTCCTTCCCCTGGAGGGGAGACACAGGATGGAGTTGAGCCACAGCGCCCAGGCCAGGGGGGTGCAGTGAGGCCAGCGGTCGCTGGGGGCGCTGCGGCCACGCTCGGGGTGAAGACGGACAGGGCTGGGGCAAGGAGGGAGCTCGGGGCTGGGGGTGAGGACGGGGCGGACGCATGCCACGCAGCCACGTGTGGGCCTGCCCTAGGGCTGGGCTCGGGGTGAGGCAGCAGGGCCCCGGGACTCCTTTAGGCCCAGCCCTCAGACTTGCACCTGCCAGTGGCACGCATGGGCTCAGAGTGAGAACGGGGCGTGGGGTGAAGATGGGCCGGGCGCACGCCACACAGTCAGGCCCCACTGCCCTGCCCGGCCCCCACAGTGGGAATCACGGCCGGGCCTGCCCCCTGGTGTACAGGGTCTGCCTGCCCACCCCTGCCCGCTGTCCCTGGGACGCCCACTCGGCTGACACCCGGGCCTCGGCTCAAGAGGCCCAGCCCGGCTCACTGTCCCGTCACCTCGCTGATCCCCCTCTCCTCCTGCCAGGATCTTTGCCTTTGCTTGTACTTCAGGATTCACTTCCCCAAACAGGGCAAGGCAGCAGACAAGTCCTGCCCTTGCAGGTGATCGGCAGCCATCCCTGGGGGACACTGCAGGACCTCTGATGGTGCAGCCACATGGGTCCAAGGGCCTGAGATAGGGGAGGATGGGACTCCAGGGCCCCAGCTGGCCTGGAAGGTTGAAGTGAGGAGGGCACTGGAACTCAGCAAGCCCTTGCCGGGACCTACATCTACCTTCGGCCACAAGAGCCTTCTCTGGGGGGATTAGGGTCCCCATGACAGGATGGCAAAGCTGGAGCCCTGAGGACCAGGGGCCCTCCCCAGGGCCCAGGCACACCCACCTGCAGGTGGACGTAGTCATAGTCCTCCATCCAGCCCCCCTCGCTGTTCTCATACTGCCCATCAGGCGAGTCCTGGGAGGTGAACTTGGGGGGTGAGGGCAGGGGCCGGGACTGGATGCTGCTGGCCTTGTCAGTGGGGTTGGGGTGCAGGGGGCCACCCCCCTCTGGCCCCGGAACAGAGGCCTTGGTCCGTCTGAAGAGCAGCGAGGCGTTGCCATGCAGGAAGGAGGCCAGCTGCTTGGCGTCCTCGGGCACTGCCCGTGAGCAGGCCACCAGGCGGTCCAGGTCTTCGGGGGTGGCCCCCAGACCTCCCCGGCCACTGTCGAGGGCCTGGCCATGGGCCACCAGTGTCTGGTACACGTCCTCCATCTTCTGCAGCTGCCGGCTCAGCTTAGCGTGCAGCGTGCGGTCAGAGGTGTGCATGGCGTTGCCCACTGCGCTGCGGGCGAACTCCAACAGCTCGTGGACGGCCGCGTGCACGGCGGCCACGGCGGCCCGCAGATCTGCGGCTGGAGGCTCCTGAGGCTCGGGGGGCCCGCGCCGGACCCCGCACCCGCCTGCGCTGCCTGCTAGGTCCAAGAGGTGGGCCACAGTGGCACTCACGCCCTGCTGCAGCCTGGCTAGGGCCTCCACGGCCACTTCCAGCTCCAGGGGCTCGCGGCCCGGCACCACCGCCTCCAGAGAGGAGGCCGACTGGCTGCTGCGGGTGCTGCCGGTGCTCGAGGCCGACAGGCGCTTGGCGTCGGCCGGGGCCTCCCTCTCGGCCGCCGGAGGCACCGAGTACAGGCTGGCATCCGCCATGGCACTGCTGGCCGCCTCGGGGGGCAGGAGCCGCTCCCGGGGCACGTCGTAGAGGGTGCCGGGGCCGGGCCTCCGCAAGCCGGGGGGCACGTCGTAGAGGTCGGGGGCCGGGGGCGGCACGTCATACACATCCTCGGCCGGCGGGGAATCCGGAGGGAGCGCGGCCAGGACCAGCGGGTGGCGGGTCGGGTCGAAGGGCTTGGCCTTGGCAAAGGCGGGGGGCACGTCGTAGGTCTCCTCACGCAGCAGGGGGCCGTCGGGCACGTCCTTGCTCACCGACGGAGGGACATCGTACACCTGGGGGCCGAGAAGCAGGTCACAGTTACCCGTCCACCTGTCCCCACCCCGGACCTGAGGGTGGACCCAGGCATCTGCACACACAGCCCAGCGCTCAAGCGTCGCCATTCTTCCTGCAGGTTACGCTTCAGAACCTGACTCTGAGGCCAGACCAGAGCTCAAAATCACGGCCCCACCACTTACTAGCTCTGTGACCTCAGGCTCTGGCTGCACCTCTGTGCCCGGCCAGTCGCCTATGAGAGAACGCCCTCACGGGTTTATTGTGAGGACTATACGATTTAATTCTCTGTGTAACTACAAACACTCAGGGAAAGGTCAGCTATTGCACCATTACCTCCACCACCATCAGCATTGCCACCACTGGGACATCCTCTAGTCTGTCAGTCTCTCAGTCCTGTCCAACTCTTTGTGACCCCATGGACTGGAGCCTGCCAGGCTCCTCTGTCCCTGGGATTCTCCAGGCAAGAATACTGGAGTGGGTTGCCATGCCCTCCTCCAGGGGATCTTCCTGACCCAGGGATCGAACTTGCTTCTCTTACGTGTCCTGTATTGGCAGGCAGGTTCTTTACCTCTACTCTGTGGCAGACATTAATAGGTGGCTGAGCCACCTGCATGCTGTGCTCAGGGTGCTGACGCCCTGGTTCGACCAGGACAGTCCTGGTTCGTGCCCGAGGCCCCTTCTAATTACTCATCCTCTTCCTCCCCCTCTCAGAAGAACCCTGGTTCGGATGGTGCATTCTGTGGTCCCCCTGCTATCCCATGTGATGCTCTTAAGAACCTCCTGGAGAACGCCCTGCAGGGGAGGGACCCTTTCCCTGACGAAAGGCCGAGGCTCGGAGGGGCGCCTGGTTTCCACCCCCATCACAGAGGTTCTGGAGGCAGGCCTCTGGAGCCCCCTGCTCTGCAGGCCCCCGCCGCAGGGCACACACAGTCACACCCAGCACCCTGCGTGGCCACAGCATCCCTTCTGCGCTCACCGCGTGGTGGCTGGCCGGCGGCAGGCCCTTCTCCACACTGGGAGGCACGTCGTACACATCCAGCGATGGGTCCCGGCCATTGGGACCTTTGACGGCCATGGGGGGCGTGTCGTACACCTAGGTAGGGCAGGAGAGGCGCAGTAATGCAGGGGCCAGGGCCACCTGAGGGCAGGGAGAGAGGACCCCAAGCTGCACCCCAGGGCCTTCCGGGCCGGGGCTGGGGAGCGCAGCGCCCCCACCCACCACCAGCCTGCACACCCACCTCCTGGCTGCACTGGCCGGGCAGCAGCCCGCGCACCGGGGGCACGTCGTAGATGTCCTGGGGCCCGGGGGCCAGCAGGTGGCGAGGGATGTCGTACTCGTCCTGCTCGGGCGGGGGGGCCTCAAACACGTAGCCCTGCCCCACGCGGGTGGGCACCACCACCTGCGGGCAGACGGCTGGCCGTCACCTCCGGCCCTGGAGGCCAGCCTCCACGACCCGCAGGGCGCTGCCGCCACCCAAGCTGAGCAGGACACACACGAGGGCCCCGGAGCCGAGGGCGTGCGCGTCCCTCGGAGTCCTGGCCTCTCTTCAGTCAGACTGCGTGCAGGGACCACAAGGACCCCACTGTTGGCCAAGAGCCATCTGGTGAGGCAGGACACAGGTGCTGTCTCCACAGCCGAGCAGCCCGCAAGGTTCCAGAGGCGCCTACACATGGGCTGAGGAGGGGGCCACGCCTGCCGACAGGGCGGCCTGCCCGCGGCGGTGTCCCCACCGGAGGGCCCGGCAGCCACCTTTGGGCTCCAGATGATGGAGGCGGTGGTGCCAGGCGGGGCTCTCCCCAGGCCAGGGGAAGAGGGGGCCTGCAGGCGATCCCGGGGGTCAGGGCCCGGGGCCTCCCTGCCCTCCTTGTCCCGCACACCCTTGGGGGATTCCTGGGAAGGGGGTCACCGAGAACTCCCAGCCCCCAGAGCCAGTTATATGGCAAACAGCAGGACACACACTGTTCCGGCAAGTTGTGCGGGGGTGTGAGGGAAGGATGGAGACCGGAACCAGGACCCCCGCTCCCCACAGCACCACACCCCAGGGGCTGCGGAGACCACCCTCCACGCACCCAAAAGGACAGGGCCTCGGTAGGGAGGTCTTCCCTCCTGGTGCAGGGCGCGGGGTCCCTGGCCCGCTGGTGGGCAGGGCTTGGCAGGCAGCCTCCCGCTGCGAGCCTCGTGGATCTGTGACCCGGCAGGGGCACACCTCCTCCACACAGCTCCCAGCTCAGCCCTCTTGACAAAATGCCATTCTGTTCCCTAATCAAACGGGAGGTCCGGGACGCGGTGACTCAGGGCTCCCCATGCATTCCTGGGGGCCTAGAGGCAGAGGTAGGCCTGCTCTGGTGCCCCCGCGCCCGCTCCGCAGCCGCTGGGCGCCCCCGGGGCAGAGGCGTGGCCGGGAGGGGCTCACCCGCGGTGTCCCCGCCCCCGGAGCAGCGAGCAGGCGGTCCTTCCCAGGCTCTCTTCTCCAGCCCCAGACTTGAGTCTCCTCCAGGGCTATTTTCAGACGCTGGAGCCGGCCAGCAGCAGGCCGGGGGGCGGGGGGGGGGCTGCGGCTGGCGGGACGTGGCAGCAGGACCCTGAGGCGAGGTCCGAGGGGACCCCGGGACGAGGGGTGCGTCCCGGCCTCTCCCTCCATGCCCGCCAGCACCGCCGCGGGGAGCAGCCATGCTGGCCGACAGATGTCTCTTGTTAGAGGGCAGAGCAGGCAGTCAGGGAGACCCGTGCCCTAGAGATCCGCGGAGCCCCTCATCACAGGTTGCTGGCTCCACACCTGAGGCCCCATCAGCAGACCTGGCACCCCAGGGGCGGGGGACAAACCCAGAGCTGAGCAGGAGACACAGCCCCCAGACCACGGCCCACACGAGCTCTCACGCACACATCTCAAGGCGCAGGAGACAGACACGAAGAAGCCGAGAAAACACGCCCCCCAGCCATGGCCAGACACACATCCAGACCATTACCTGGGCAGGCGCCACAGGGCACCGTCAGGAGACCGAAGTGAGACTGAAGGCTCCCAAGACCCCAGAACCCGGCAAGCGCCCTGCTGCCTTCTGCCTGGGCCAACCACCGCCGGGCAGCCTGTCCCTGTTCCGGGCAATGTGCGTCACCCCATGCGACCCAGGCCAGCCCACTCTATGGTGCTGAAGGACGGAGGCCCAGGTCTGACATGGGCTCCCCCCTCCTGAAGAGCGAGACTGAGCTGAGCCGGGTCTGCAGCTGACCCAGAGGCGCTCCCCCAGGACTGGCCTCCTCCTCTGGGGCCCCCGGCTTCTGCCCTCAGCTTCCTAAGCCATGCCCTCGCCCCAGAGGGTGCCGACTCCCGAGGTGTCCCTGACCTCCCCCGAGCCACACAGGCCGCCCTGCTCCAGGCTGCCGACAGGTGACTATTCCTGGGTGCCTGCCTCATCAGTCACCTTCTGTTTCCCTGGCCCCAAGGCCCCACTGACACTCTGCAGGGTCCCCCTCAGTCCAGCCAACCTCCAACCCTAGAACCAAGGGCCTCAGTTTCCCAGGCATCTGAAAGCACAGTCTGAAATATGGGCACAGATGCACGCTGCAGGATATTTACAGTCTTGCAGTTTGTCACAGAGACACTCGCCATCAGAAACCCCTTGGAGCCTGTCCCCCAAAGAGGGGGTGACAAGCAAAACTGGGGGCAGCTGTGATCACACTTAGGGACCCAAGAAAATGCTTCTGGTATCTAATGCCAGATTTATGACCTCAAAGGCGAAAGTCTGTACCATCTGTGAAAGATGAGTAGTTCAGTAGACAAAATATGCTGAAATCCCCCAGCGGGCCCGTCTCGATTGGGGGAGCTCCTCTCCAGGCATTCTCACACATTATGCACCTGCCCGTGACAAGCAAGCACGGCTTTCACGACTATGAAATAAAAGCAGATGCAATCGAGGCTGCCCAGGCCAGGAGCAGCGAGGCTTCTCAGGTGAGGGCGAGGTTCCTGGACGCAGAGCCTTACTCCCTGGGGCCCCAGCCAGGTCGGGCCCCTCGGGGACACGGGCTCTGGGCAACCCCCACAGTGGGCAGGCAGGGGGAGCTCGCCAGCCAGGGGAACCCAGAGAGCAGTCCAAGAGCAAGCCACGTGCACGGGAGGGAAACAGGACCCACAGCTAAACGTGGGCCCGAGTCCACAGCCCGCAGTGGGGCCTCGCTGCGCCGCCGGGCCAGGGGCTTCCACTGTGTCTGGCCTCAAAGCTGCGCCAGGACACGCCCGCCTGCAGAGCCTCGGAAAGGAGAGGGCAGGCGGGGAGAGCGCCTGCCCGGGGAGTGTGAGGAATGGAGCTGTGTGGGTGTGCCAGTGGGACTCTGGCCTGTCCCCAGGCTCACCAGCCAGTCTCCCCACCCCGCCCCGCGCCACCGTGCAGCAGTCCCTGATGGGCCGCCCCAGCCCAGCCCCCAGCCTCTCCAGCCAGGCGGCCGAAGGAGCAGGCGGAGACGAGGGGCCTCCGCCCAGGCCTCCCGGCTGCCAGGCTCTGCCCGTGGCAGGGCCAGGGTGACACCACACGCTGGACCACTGCCCGGCGGGCATCTCGGCCCCGGGCCGGCAGAGCACAGAGGCCCAGTGCTGTGGGGAGAGTGTCCTCAGACGGGCGGCTCTGGGCGAGACACGCACTCCAGTCCTGCTCCTTCCATGGCAGACAGGCCCCGGGGTGAGGGGCGTGTGGGAAGGTCGGGGTGCTGCTGGGGTGCTGGGCTCCCACCTCCCATGGGCAACAAACAGCCTGCCAGAGACTTGGAATGCAAGGCCCTCTCGGGCGACCAGATCATCCAGCAGGCAGTGTGCACCCCCAGTCCAGGAGTCACGGGCAGGTCACCCTGTGGCTTCTGCAGCTCGCTGCCACGGCCTGGGAGAGGGTCGGGCACCTGGGGGACGAGCTCACTGCTGAGGGGCCCCCGGGCGCCCCGGGCCCTTCCTCCGTGCCCTGCCGGCTGGCACTCATGCAGCCGCTGTCCTGGCCTGTGGGCCCCGAGCGAGGTGGCAGAGCAGCAGGACGGAGCAGCTGCAGGCCCGACAACCGCGGAGGCCCCGCCGCCCCATACCGCTCACCCTCACCGCGCCACTGGGCAGAGAAGAGTCGCCGCCAGCCAGCGCATCCTTCCAGGATCCTGGCCACTCCAGCCTTGCGCTCCATACTCCAATTACCCATCAGAACCTCCACTCCCCTTTCCTGGGCTCCCTGCGCCCTCCCCTCTGCGCAGAATGACTTTATCCTGCACGGCTGGGCAGGTCACTCTCACCCCAAACCCTCTGTCCTCAGGAGGGTACCAGGCCCCCAGGGTCCTGGCTACTCTCAGGCTTCCTGGGCCAGCTCCAGCTGCCACGCCAGTCTTAAGACATGCTGGTCCTCTGCCGGGAAACCCTCCCATTGGGGCTTGTCAGCTGAAGGACACCTCATGGCCCAAGACCAGCGCCTTGTCTTCTCCGGGGAGCTCACCCCCACACCAGCAGACACGTAAACAGTCAGCACTCACCTCCCACTGCAGCCCCACGCCAAACGCGGAGCCGCTACGGGAACCCCCGTGGTCCCAAAGATCACACTGGCTGGGCCCTGCTGTGTCCAGCAATCAGGCCTGGGGAAGACCCCCCGGAAGGGCCGCCTGATCTCCCAGGGAGGCCTTACCTTGGCTGGCGGCTTCGTCCCCTCCCAGTGCCGTGCGTCCATGGATGGGGGCACCTGGTAGACGCCCTGCCCTACCCCGGCGGAGGGCGGCACCTGGTAGGTGTCCTGGGCAGGGCTGCCCGGCCCCGGGGGCACCTGGCAGAGGTCTGGGGCTGGGCTGGGGAACGGGTGATGAGGCATCTGCTTGGAGAAGGCGGAGGTCTGCTTGGCCGGTGGGGACTGGAACTGGGGGCTGGGCCCCGGGGCCTGGTAGAGGCCTTGCTGAGTCTTGCTGGGGGTGGGTACCAGGTAGACACTGTCTGGCTGGGGCGGGAAGGTGGCTGGCAGCATGGGCGTGTACGGGGTCGTGGGGGCCAGGAGGCTGGGCTGGGGCGGGCCGGGTGCCGCCGGCTTCTTGTCATGCATGCCCACCAGGATCTTGAGGCGGTTCCCGGGCACGATGCCTTGCCGGCCATGGAGTGAGCAGAGCCACCAGCCGCCCAGGCCCTGCGTGTCCCGCTCCAGCACCGTCATGATGTCACCCTTGCGGAAGGAGAGCTCATCCGGGGACTCGGCCACGTTGTCATAGAGGGCTTTGGCAAGCACGTTCTGGGGAGAGAATCGGGGCGTGAGGGCAGAGGTGGTGCTCAGCACCCGTGGCCCGCCCGGCTCCCACCCTCTCCAGGACTGGGGGGGCACGTGGCTCTGGCACTAAGGCAGGAACTACACAGGGTTTAGCGGGATCCCTGCGCCTCTCTGCCCACCGCCCCTGGCAGAACAGCCCCGCTGATGCTGGCGCTTCTTCAAACGCGCCTGCAGAGTGCCTCAAAACCCTCGCGACTGCAGCCTCCACCCACACTCCAGGATGGCACCCAAGCTACTGAAAAAAAAAAACACAACCAAACACTTCCAGAGTCACGCTACAGGCTGGACCCAAGGCTAGGGAGGGCAGCGATCATGACAGAAATGGCCACCACGTCCTGCAGAGAAAACAGGATGCACGCCCTGCCTGCTGCCCCGCTGGTGCGATCAGCCAGGAGCGAGACCAGACAACACACAGGAGCAAAACAGTCATCGTCTGCAGAGCACACGCCATCTACGTAAAAAGCCCAACAAGCACGAAGGGCCGACCTCACGGGAAAGACGTCAGCAGATAACAAAAGCTGCAAGTTATCTAAGAGTTAAGCAAGCACAGACTCCAGGAGACCTCGGAGGAGAAAATGCACCAACTGGGCCAAGCTTAATTTTTCTTTTTTTCTTTTACTATGATTTTTATTTATTTTTTTTTCCATTTATTTTTATTAGTTGGAGGCTAATTACTTTACATCATTGCAGTGGTTTTTGTCATACATTGAAATGAATTAGACTTTTTAAGAAATCTCCACACTGTTTTCCATAGTGGCTGTACTAATTTGCATTCCCACCAACAGTGTAAGAGGGTTCCCTTTTCTCCACACCCTCTAAGCTTACTTAATATGTTACAACTGCAATAAAAACGCCAACAGAATTTTTGGGAGAGGGAAGAAGTCAATCAAAGACAAAGAATCTTTCTAGAATTAAGTGGAGAAATAGAGGTCAGCAGGTAGGCAGGTTAGTTCTGAAAATGGAAGGCAAAGAGGCATTGCATTCCTGCCATGAGGATGGGTCACAACTCCAGACCACAACTGGGACCCCCACAGTGATGGCGAGGGCAGGACCACAACACACATGCTCACGCACCTCAGGAAGAGAAGCCCGTTTGGACACTTGCCTCACGTTACAAACACCTGTAAAAGGTACGAGCTTAGAGGTGACAGAAGAAAACACTGTCCCAGACTATCTCTGGGACTTTGGAGTGGAAAAAATTATAGAACAAAACCCCAGAAAAAAAGACCACAAAAGCACACAATCTAAGGAAACAACAACAGAAGCAAAGATAGATTCAGGCTCACTGACGTGAATGGTTTCAGCTGGATGGGCGAATCACAGAAAGCTGGCAGGTGGCAGGCCACCAATGACAAGACGATCAAATCTGGAGTCTGGAGGGGCCCTGACATCTAAGCAGTGAAAAGGCAAAACACCAGCAGAAAACCCACAAAACACAAAGAGTTCTCTGAAAGGGAAAGCAGATTGGCCAAGACAGCCACAAAGGATGCGCAGGGTCCCAGCCGGCAAAGCAGGACACATTCTTGATTCTGCCCTGAGCTCTGGCAGGGCCTGGGGACTAGTGAGGAATGCCAGCCATGCCCGCCCGAGTTACGGCTGCAAAGAGGTGCTCTACAGCCCAGAATGCTGTGTGCAGATGTCACAGGCTCCTACAGAACAACTCTACGTGTTTTTCACAGACACTTGTCCGAGAACAGATTCCAGACACATTACATTTGCATGGGTGCCTCTGGAGGAGGGACAGAAATGAGACAGACATCAGGAACAAATGGGGAAAATACAGCAAAATGGGAAGGCATCCCGTAAGGCTGAGGAAGGCCGCAGAAGGGCAGCACCATCCCCTCAGCCCCGCTCTTTACTCCAGTAAGTACCCTTAGTTCTCACAGCTGCCCCAGAACCGCTGACTTGGGGCGCTGCTCTGTTCTCTGTCAGTCCCCCCCGGAGCGGGGAGACACGCTCCACGCAGAGGCCCCAGGGCCCAGCAGGAGGACCCCAGTCCTGGCAGACAGTGTACTGACAGGCCCAGAACCTCCCTAGAAACAGGGAACGGGGAAGAGGGCCCCGCCTTTCAGTCCTTGGCCTGCTGCGTGTGCGGGGGCAGGGCCCAGAGGTGCCCCAGGGGCCCGGTGGGAGGGCCACGGCCAGCCCGGCCCCAGGCAGGAGTGGAGGCAGCAGGCAGGGGCGGGGGCAGCAGGCAGGAGGGAAGGCAGCAGAAAGGGGCGAGGGCAGCGGGCAGGGGCGAGGCAGAGGGCAGGGGCGAGGGCAGAGGGCAGGAGGGAATGCAGCGGGCATGGGTGGGGGCAGAGGGCAGGAGGGAGGCAGCAGGCAGGGGCGAGAGCAGTGGGCAGAAGTGGAGGCAGCATGCAGGGGTGAGGGCAGCAGGCAGGGGTGAGGGCAGGAGGGAGGCAGTGGGCAGGAGGGTAGGCAGCAGGCAGGGGCGAGGGCAGCAGGCAAGAGGGAAGGCAGCAGGCAGGGGTGAGGGCAGAGGGCAGGAGTGGAGGCAGCGGGCAGGGGCGAGGGCAGAGGGCAGGGGCGAGGGCAGCGGGCAGGAGTGGAGGCAGCAGGCAGAGGTGAGGGTAGCAGGCAGGAAAGAAGGCAGCGGGCAAGGGCGAGGGCAGCAGGCAGGGGCGAGGCAGCGGGCAGGGGCGAGGGCAGAGGGCAGGGGCGAGGGCAGCAGGCAGGAGTGGAGGCAGCAGGCAGAGGTGAGGGTAGCAGGCAGGAGGGAAGGCAGCGGGCAAGGGCGAGGGCAGCAGGCAGGGGCGAGGCAGCGGGCAGGAGGGAAGCAGCGGGCAGGGGCGAGGGCAGTGGGCAGGGGCGAGGCAGCGGGCAGGGGCGAGGGCAGCGGGCAGGGGCGAGTGGAGCAGGCAGGGGCGAGGGCAGTGGGCAGGAGGAAAGGCAGCCGGAAGGGGCGAGGGCAGCGGGCAGAACGGAGGCAGCAGGCAGGAGGGAAGGAAGCGGGAAGGGGCGAGACAGTGAGCAGAAGGGAAGGCAGCAGGCAGGGGCGAGGCAGCGGGCAGGGGCAAGGGCAGCAGGCAGGAGGGAGGCAGTGGGCAAGAGAGAAGCCAGCTCCTGGCAAGAGGGTCGGGGCCGCTGCAGCCTCCAGGGCGGTGGAGAGCTCGGCGGGGTGCAGCAGAGGCCCAGGCCTTGCCGGGAGGGAGGCCAGGCCCGAGGCCAGGACTGTGCCAGGCTGGCTGGGTGCCAGCCCCTCCTCTGCGTCTCCTGGGGCCTAAAGAGTCAGAGCCTGCTCTGGATCTGCTCGGAAGCGGGACTTGGGGTGGGACCACCTGCATCCACTGGGGCCTGCGTCTTGTCCCCTGGATTCATCAGCGGGCAGAGAAGAGAGAGGACGGGGTGTCACCCAGCTCCACGTCGGCCTTGGGGGCCATAAGGAGCTCCAGGGCCCCAGGACCGCACGCTCAAACTTCAGGCTCAGAGTGTTGACGGGGAGTGCACCCCTGCAGAGCCGGAGGCCAGGAAGCTGGGAATCAAGGAGGATGAGGCCCAGGGAAGCCAGCCCCTGTGTGGAGCAGAGGCCTGCCCACACCAAGGGGAGCAGCGGGGTTCAGGCCCCACACAGCACTGTCCACAGCACATTAGATCAGGTCAGTTATGAACACAAGAGGTGTACATGATTCCTCAATAAAAAGTCACTTGAACTTGAAAAATGGGGAGAGGATAATGTTTGAGATGATGAAAGAATGCTTTTTCCTCCTGTTTTTCAGAAATTTGCAATTTGTATTTAATAAGCATTTTTTGGTTTGGGGGCTGAAAACACATACATCTTGACAACCTCCTGGGCTCCACAGCAGGATGGGATGGCCCAGGCCGAGGTGGGTCAGAGGGCAGAGGCCTGAGAGGAGCCCCACAGCCCGCTGGGTTCCCAGGTCCCAGCCCCGGCTGCCTGCAGGAAGAGCAAGTTTCCCAAATATGGTCTGCAGTCTGCTTGACGGAGCACACTGACTCTGCCGGGGGGGCGGGAACGTCCAGCCCACCCTCCCCCAGCGAGTGACCCCAGAACACGGAGCCACCCCGCTGGGTCCCCTCAGCCCCTGCCCCATGACACAGGAAGTGCCAGCAGAGTGAGTCACAGGAAAACCCCTCCAGCCCAAGGGGGCGGGTGCAGACAGGGGCATGCCCGCGGACGCCCCCCACCTCGGAGGAGGGCCGCCCGCGGAGCCGGCAGAGGGGCTTCAGGCAGCGCTGGCCTCTCGGGCGGCTGGAGGGCTCCACCCAGGGCCAGGGCCAGCGGGAAAGGGGGACGGGGTGGGAGGGAGGGCCCAGCCCCAGGAGGGCGCCCAAGGAGCTACCGGGGCACTGTGTGGCGTGTGAACACGTGGAGGAGTCAGCCCGCGGCGACCATACGGTCCAGGGAGGCCCGCGCCGGGCTGGGCAGCACAGCGCCTCCAGAGCGGGCACACGGCAGCAGGCGCCTGGCACCAGGAGTGCCTTGGCCTGCATCAGCTGGTGCCCGTTGCCGCCCCGAGCCCCAGGGGCGGGCTCGCCACGGCCCAGGCACTGCCGCGCGCCAGCTGGCCGGGCACCACCCCGGGGCCTCCCAGCCGCTCCTCACGCCCATCCCCAGGTCTGAGCAGCAGCACCAACACTGGCCTGGGTCTGCCCTCCCCGCACTGCGGGGACCCCGAGCAGGCCCCGCTGCCTCTCTAAGCACCCGGGCCCCCTGAGCTCAGGGGGGAGCCTGCTCTCCCAGGACGCTGCTTCTGGTTGGTGAGAGGCTTGCCTGGCCAGGTGCTGGGTCGGCCTCTGCAAGGCAGCGTGAGCCTAGCTTGACGGAGAAGACACACCACGGTCCGCCAGGACAGGGTGAAGAGTGGGACGCAAAACTAACGTGACAGGGCCAGCTCCCAGAGGCCGGGCTGAGGGCCTCCCCAAGAGAGATGTCTCAGGCAACTCACGAAGGACGAAAGCCAGGCGGCCAGGAAACCGTGCAGGGAAGCGCGTGTGGACAGAGGGCAGACACGAGACAGGACCGTGAAGCGGGGACAGGCTGGAGGGGAGCCAGGGCCGCGGCCTGGACTGGCAGGCCGCCTGGGGAGGACACAGCGAGGGGCCAGTAAGCATGTCCAGTGGTGGCACGCCGTGGCAGAACAAGGCAAGACCCACTGCTCCGGAGCACTCCTGCGCTGCAAGCGCGCCCCCGGGCCCGGGACCTTGCTCCAGGCTGAAGAGGGGCCTGTCCACCCAGCACCCGGCCCGCCAGCCTCCGTCACGAGCCCCAGGGACGTAGAGCCAGGCCCCTGGGAGGGCACAGCACAGAGGCCCACCCATGTCCAGGCACCCCGTGGACGGCGGCCACTCGCCCGAGCCTCTGGCCCCTCGCTCCTGACCTGGGGAGCCCCTTGCTAAATCTTACTCCTTCAGGATGCTACTCGGGTGTCGCCACCCCCAGGAAGGCTCCCACGTCCTTTCCCGGGCACCCACCGCCTGCTGCGTCCTCCCTGAAGTGCCGATCAACACCCCTCATCACTGCCCACTTCGTATCCCCCAACCTGGAGGTCCATGACTAGGGTGGGGGAACTCCCGCACAAGCCGGGCTGAACCAGGGGCTGCTGACCTGCCGGGTGCAGGAGGGGGCGGTGCCCTGGCCTCCCTGGGAGCCGCCCGAGGAAGCCAAGACGGCCCCCTGACACGGCCTCGCCCCAGAGGGAGGGGACAGGGGCACCGCCAGCCCGAAGCAATACTCCCCAGGCAACAGCCTGCCACCGGCGCACCCAGAACAACGGGCTGGTTGTTGCATGGGGAGCTGAGAGGCTGTCCGCAGGCTGGCCTGGTGTGAGAATGGCCCTCGTTGTGTGCGCCAGACCCACCCGGGCCCAGGGCACAGAGCAGCTGGGCCATGGCCGCCATCAGACGGGTGTGCCCTCCACCCGCTGCCCCGGGGAGTCCCAGGTGTGCTCTGGGTGTCCCCAAACCCAGGCTCGGGGGTGGTGCTACCTGGCAGCTGAGAGACTGGCAGAATCACAGTGACGACCTGACGACACGGCTCTTCTGCACACTCAGTTATCTCCTCCACCCATCGTACAGACGGGGAAACTGAGGCGCGCAACCGTTACCTGATCTGCCAGCGTCCTGGGCAGGACATGGCAGAGGAGCCCTGAGCTATGTGGCAAAGCGCAGCCGGGTGGCCCCAGGGCACTGCTCAGGTCCATGGAAGCCGGGGCGGAAAGTTCACAGGCCTTGTCCCCCACCTCCCCATCCCTGCCCCCGCCACACACCCTGGCCCCGAGCACAGAGCCCCACACATGGCACTCACTCCGCAAACACTGGTTCTCTTCATGCATGGCCGTCTCAACTGTGGGCCAAGTTTATCTCTGGGGTATCCTGTTTGCTTGTCCCAAAGAGACCCTGAGGCCAGTGGATACAGCCAAAACGTGTGTGTGCCACCGCGGCAGCCCACGCCCACAGCTCACTCGTACCCTGGGACGCCCCCAGGAGGGCAGCCCCATGCCTAGGTCCCTGACAAGACTCCACTCTGCTCTGGGCTGCAGTGGGGCAGGGAGGACAGTGCCTTTTCCCTTTCCAGGGGTCCCCACACCCCCATCTCAGACAGCTGGCCTTGGCATTGCCCAGGACAACTGAGGGATCAGGGTCTGGGCTCAGGTCTTCAGTGTTCAGCGTGAGGAGCATGGGTGAGCCCCCCACGCCAGAGCCACCCTCTGGGAACAAGGGAGGCGTGCCTCCTTCCCCGCCTACTGGGCAGCGCCCAAGCCCCCAACGCAGAGCAGGCCCCAGGCCTGACTGCAGCAGCCAGAACAGGTCCACAGACACAGACCGGAAACCCGGCTGTGGGGAGTCACGGCCAGCAGCTCCCGCGGGCCAGCAGGCGCCCGGACCTGGCCGTGGCTCACAGTGGCTAGAGCAGAAGCCTCTGTGTGCAGGTCCCAGGCAGGGAGCAGGGCGCGGGCAGGCATCCCGGGCATGGACCCTGGAGGCTGGGCAGGGAGGGCCCTCCTGCAGTGGACACGACCTGCAGCCTCCAGGACACCAGATGGCGGGAAGAGGTGGGCCTAGCCCCAGGCGCTGAGGGGCCCCCGGGGAGGGACGAGACCAGAGCCCTCCATCCCAGAGCCCGCCCCACCTGCTGGCTGGGAGTGGGCCTCGCGCCCTGAGCCCCGCACCACTGCCACCCGCCTAGGGAGCTGACCCAGACCCCAGACGCGCTGGGACGGACCTCCCTGTTCAGTCTTGGGATCCGGCTGCTCGGCAGAGGGCCAGCACAGGCCGACCTTGACTTCACGGCCAGCATCAGGCCCTGGGAAGCCAGAACAGCCACCCCCCAGGTTTGCCACCAGAGGGGCCGAGGCAGAGGCACAGCCCATGTGGGGCTGCAGGGGCGTTGTTCCTTACAACGCCTTGGTCCCCCTCTCCAGTCCTAAATGATAACTCTCAGTAGTCCTTAAAGCAGCACCACCTGCTTCAGCAGGAGGAGGGAAGACACACGGGCACAAAGAGCACAGTTCTCCAGCTCAGAACAGTTCCAAGCCCCGACTTCCAGGACGCGCTGGAAAAGGGGTCTGGGACGGGGCCCTGCCCCTCTGTCCTGAGCTCCCTCCAGGCCAGCCAGTGCTTGATCCCGCTCCCCACACAGAGATGGAAGCAGGTCAAGTCAGAGGCTCTCCCACCCACCCCCTGGAGGGAGACCACCCTGGAGCTCCATAGGGGCCTTCAGGGCCCAGAGAGGAGGAACTTGGACAGTATCTTCCCGGAGAATGACCCAGTGCCCGCCGAGCACTGTCCCCACCCCCTTCCACCTGCTGGCTGGTTCTGGACGCCCCAGCCAGCCGTGGGCTCCTGGGGGATGGAGGAGAGCTCTCCAGGCTGAGAGAAAACGGACACTGAGACCCCTAAAAGAATGACAGATGCCAGGTGGGGGCCACTGAGGCAGTGCGGGAGCCAGAGAGAGACCCCACGGAGCTGGCACTACCCCCAGTCCCAGAAGGAGGGGAGCACATGGACGAGCTGGGCCACACCAGGAGACTGTGCTCTGGGTCAGCTCTGAGGACTGTAACGTCCCTCTCTGGCCCCAGTGCCCCCATCTGCACCTGGGGGGAGCAGCTGTCTGGGGGCCTCTCCCGCTCGGGCAGCACTCCCGGGGCACTGCCCTCAGTTCAGTCCCTTGCCCAAGCCTGGGCAGACGGGGCCAGCCCGCAGCGCTGACACCTCTGTTCAGCATAAGCATCCAGCTCTCCGGAGCGGAGGCTGACTGTCCTGGCAGAGCCTGGGGCTGCCCTAGCCTGCCTCTACACTGCACCCACTGGACTCTCCCCTAGCCGAGGTCAAGTGGGTGGTGGGTGCCAGTGCCAGGAGGGCTTGCCAACAGCTCCTCCCAGACTCCCTTCCGGCCAAGCTCCACCTGCACCCGGGCCTCTCTCTTGCTTTTCTAAGCCTGTTAGCCCTGACGTCCCTCCAGCCTAGCATCAGCTCCCCACCCTGGAAAGGAAATGGTCATGGGGGAGATGAGGCCACCGCCGGGCCTAGCTGCAACCGGCACAGCAAACCTGGAGAGGACCTCCCAACTGAGACTCTTAAGGCTGGGGAGAAAACAAGCTCCCTGTTCTCACGACCAGCTAGAGATGGGAGACCCCGACAACTCCCCGGGCCCTAACCCCTCACACTCCCCGACCTCCCCCAGGCCTCGGCAAACTGCAGCTTCTCCGAACCCGTCACCACCACCCGGGGCTCCGCCGAGCGCAGCAGCAACCCAGGGACGGAAGCCCGGGCTTCGGCCACCTCCCGGCTCGCACGCTCCACCCGCGGAGGCGAGGGCCCGGGATGGGACCGCCGCGTGGGCCTGGACTGCCCTGCCCGCCGTCCAGCTCCTACAACTCCTTTTGCAGCGAGCGAAGGCCATAACCGAGAGGAGCCCGCCCCGGATCCCGGAATCCAACGCTGACGACCCGGAGGTTAATTATTAACTTATCCGCGGACCACGCACTTGCTCCCGGCGCCCTCGATCCCTAGCCTGGGACAGGGGCAACCGACCCCCAAAACACACGGAGCACCACCTCGCCTCCTGGAAATTCACGGCCCAGGGGGCCCCGGGTCGTTGCTCCAGGCGATGGAGGGGGGCTCGGAGACGCGGCTCTCAGGCCCAAGGTCACCCGGCAGGCGCGGCCGGCAGGCGGGAGCAGGCCTGCGGCCAGCGACTTTCCCGGATCCAGGAACTTCCCTGCGGCCCGCGGCGCCTACGGTCCCCCACAGCCCCTGCCTTCGCGAGCCCGGGCCGCGCAGAGGGGGTTCCCAGGACCCCGGCCCCACGCCCCCGCGGCGGCCGTTCCCAGGACCCGCGGGTCCGGCAGGAAATGCCTCTCACTTAACCCCTTCCCGCCTGGGCCCGCCCGGTCCGCCCCTGTACGGGCAGAGCCGGGGGACCTCCGCGGACGACCCCGGGTGCGCGGACCCCGACCCGGCCGCGCTCACCAGGTAGTTCATGGTGTCCGCTGAGCCTGGGCTCCCCGCGGGGGCGCAGAGCGAACCGCCCGCGCCGCGCACTCGCGGCGTCCCGAGCGCCCCGAAGCCGCCCGGCTAGACTGCGCGGGGCTCCAGGAATCCGCCTGCCCCGCGCTCCGAAGGCCTGTCCCTGCCCTCCACCGAGGGCGAGCACGCACCCTCCTGAAAGGCCAAGGCCTTCCTCTTTCGGTAAGACTGCCGGGATTGCCCGCCTCTTCTGCGGCCGTGGTAGCCCCAAGGGCGCCAGCCTTCCCCGCCAGCCAGCGCAGGTCATTTCACACGCGTCCATCCAACAGTCCGATTCAGATCTGCACCCGGAGGAGCATGCCCCAGCTGGCAGAAAACTAAGATTCCGACCACCGCACCGACTCTGGTCAGGCCTGTGGTGTCTTAAGAGCCCCAGGATGTGAAGACACGGCAGGGAAGCCGGGGACGGCAGGGAAGCCGGGGACGGCAGCTGTCTCTGTGGGTAAGGCGGGGAGAGGAGGCCCGGAGCGCATCGTGTTCTAACAGCCACAGTGTGCGGGAGGCTCCAGCGCACCGGGGACAAGAAGCGTGTCCATCTACCCCCTGCTCCGAACTGAATCCAGCTTTCCTAGTGCTGCCCCCAGGCCTCTGCCCCCAACCAGATCCCTCAGTCAGCCCTGTGGAGGCTGACACCTCTGGCCCAACAACTCCCCTGTTTCAGCAGCAGGTGCTGGGAGGGATGCTGATGGGAATGGCCAGGAGGGAGAAGCACTATGGGAAGCTGAGTGGAGGGCACCTAGGGAGGGCACCCCTCCCTAGGAGACAAGCTGTGACCGTCTCTGAACGTGGTCCAGGGCTGCACGGCGGTCTGCAGGGAGATCTAGGATGGAGCCAGCTCCACCTGGGGTGCCTTCACAGGCTGCCTTCTCGAGCCACTTGCTGAGTGTGCAGACACCCTCAGGCAGCTCGGAATGCCAGCGAAGCAGCGGGGCATATCCTGTAGAGAACGCCCGGGGGTGGCCTATAAAACACATACAAGCTGGAGGAAGACCCAAAGGTGTCCCTCCACTGACACCCAGGCTGACAGCCCCTCTCCAGGTGTGCTACCATGGGCAGGCTCTCCCTCATGTATAAAAGGAAGGGGCTGGCTGGTCATAGATCTCTTGGAAAGCTTGTTAAGAGACAGATTCCTAGGTCCCTTCCTTCAGAAAAACTGGGAGTGGGGGGAATCCAGACATCTGCATTTCCCCCAAAAGTGTTTGGGGAACCACTGGACGGAACTCTCAGCACAGCGTGTGGGTAAAGAGCAGCAGGGTTTGGACACAGGGGGACCCAGAGTCCTCAAGAAGGAACGGGACAAGCTGCCACCTATGGCCACCTTAGGACTGGCCCCCTGTGCCCTTCGAAACAGCCCAGTTCCCCACAGGAGAGCCAGTTCTCAGGGAAATGCTGCCAAGGGTGTCCCCTCCCGCTTGTTCCCAAGCCTGCGCCCCAAAGTCAGAAAGGAAGCCGTGGGCCTGCCCTGTCCTCAGCCTGACTAGCACCTCGGCTTCCAAGGAAACATCAGAACAGCGGGCCGTGAGTGAACACCTGTCCATGCTGAGTGGAGGGGGTCCTTAGGTTTTCCCGGGGTCTCCACTCGGGTGGAGAGTGGGGTGGGGGCCAGGCTCCACAGCCAGGCAGCAGGTCTCCACAGAGATGGGCAGGGACATCCCTGTTGAGCCGGCCTTGGGAGAGCGAGGAAGCCGCTGGGAACAAGACCAGAGACCCTCCCTCCGTGGGGCTGGTTTAAAGCCGCACGGGGGCGGGGCTGCTCTAGTGGGCGGGCAGGCGGGGGAGGAGAACCCAGCTCTGGCCCAGGCATTTCAAAAATTTGCTCCTTTTCCACTTAAACTCCCCACCCCCCCAAGACTGTGCCTCCCAGAATGGCATTTCCGCTTTAGAATCCAGGCCCCGGGATCTGTGCCCCACTGTGCTGGAAGGGGAGAGGCTGAAGGGGGAGCGGGGTGCCCCCTCCAGGCCTGCCTGGGGATCTGGGGGAGGGGCGCCCATTGGGCAGCTCCGCGGGTCTGTGGGGGAGCAGACCCTCCCAGGCCAACGGCCAAGGGACGCAGCCCCCAGGACAGCGCTCAGTCCAGCCCTGGGCCAAGGCCTCTATATGATCACATGCTCATCTCGTGCCCACAGTGATCCTGCACAAGCTTCCCAATTCGCCCCATTTTCCAGATGAAGAGGCTGAGACCCAGTTTCCCGCCCCCCCCACCCCCCTCCACAGACTGCAATCCCTGAAGAGAGGGCCGGAGGGGCTGCTAGAGCGCAGCCCACCCTGAACCCCCTGCGGCACCTTCAGGACCTGCAGGGCAGAAAGGGGGTCATAGAGCAGGGGTGCCCAGGGAAGCCGAGGACCTTGCCACACTCAGAGGCCCCAAGGGACAAGTATGTAGGACCCAAGCACCATCCTCAGACACAGTGAGCTCAGAAGGGGGCCCGGGAGCGCCCCTCCCACACGAGGGCCACCCTGTAGGGTGACCGCACCGCATGGCCGGGACGGAAAGGATGGACAGGTTGGGAGAAGCCAGCAGAGCGCCAGCTCCTCCCAGAGCACCGTGGTCAACCCAGCGGCTGCCCCTCTGCCAGGCTGTGGGCACACTCACAGCTGAGGTGTCCCCCCAGTCCCCGGGGGAGCAGCTGTCTGTGCAAGGCCGATGGTGGCCCGCGCCCCAGGCTGTTGGTTCCCGTGCGTCCATCACCGGCCCGCTGGGGCAGGCGCTGCTGGCGATCCTGGGCCTTGAGTGAAGAGACACGGTGCCTGCCCTCTGGGCTTCAGGGGGTCTTATTGTAGACGTCAGACCCACAGCACAAAGAACAGTTCTTGCTTTAGCCCCAACAATGTCTGTGGCAGCATTTATAACAGCAAACAAAGAGAGGCATAATGTAAATGCCCAGCTATAGCGGACTGGTTGGGCCACCAGAACCTCTCGATGGAATCCTGTGCAGCTATTAAGATGGCCACTTTCAAAGGCTAAAATCATGCAAGAAAATGCTGATGCCAAGTTAAGCGTGGACTGAAATGGCTAGCTCCAAGTGGCTCAGACAGCCGCCTTCTCCTAAGCCTGGGCTTTCCCAGCAGCACTGAGGGGGGCCAGCCGGCTCCAGGGGCGCAGCAGCAGGGAAGGATTTCCTGAGGCCGGAGGTGAGGGCTGCCAGCCACAGGGACAGGAAGAAAGGATGACTCTGGAAGGCCGTGGTGGACGCCTGGCCCTGGGCTGGCCACGCACACCAGCAGGCTCCAAGGCAGCCTATGAGGCGGAGCCAGCCCTGCAGGCAAGGGGGCAGGACCCCGCAGGGGCCCAGCTACGCCAAGAACCACTGTCACACGGCTGCCGCCCCACACACCGCCCTCCCGGGGCCAGGACAGAACCATCCCACCCAGAGGCTCGGACAGGGGCAGGGCCTTGCCCCGGCACACCTCCAGAAAGTGACAGAGCCACAAAGTGCAGACCGGCTACCAGGGCGTGTTCCCACAGAGGAGCACCCCAGGGGACCCCAGACAGAGCAGCCCCCGGGGGCTGGAGCCATGAAGCGTTGCCCTCCAGGTGGAGAAACCACGGGCGTCCATGTGTCATTATGGCGGTGACCAGCTGTAGGGCAGGCTCCAGTCCCCCCGCAGGACCCCGGGTCAGCCCCCAGGGGTCTGGGTGCAAGGGCAGGACCAGGGCAGAGTGTGGGGCAGACCCAGAGCTGGGGGGCTGGACAGCCTGGACCCCCACCTTAAGGCAGCTCCCTCCCTGCCTCAGGCTCTTTCAAGGGCAGCACAGTCTCCTAATTCTTTTAATTGCTTTTCTAATTTGAAAATTAAGCAGGCACAGAGGCACCTGCAGGGAGGTGCTGGCTTCAGATTGGGGCTCTGCTCACATGGCTGGGGCGCTTCCCAGGGGCTCTCTGCCCCAGCCCTGGGTGCGGACCCCAGTAGCCTGAGAGCCCCCTTCTCTTCCTGTGTGCCTCAGAGAGCCAACAACCAGCTCCCCCACTTCCGTGCACAGAGGCCTGCCCCCCTCCCCGGCTGGCACCGGGACCCCACTCCCTGGGCCCTCACCCCTCCCCCGGTCCTCGCCCCCACAGCGGCCCCTCAGCACTGCCTGGGGGAGGGCGGGGGGTGGGAGAAGGGAGGGAAGGGACGAGCCCCTGTCCTCGGAGAGAAAGCTGGGCGGCTGAGCTCTGGCGGGCAGCCTGGGCGGCAGGGCCAGGGTGTGGTCAGGCAGCACCAGCCCGCCATCTGCCTGCCTCTCCCATGGCAACCGGCCCCGGCGCGAGGGCAAGGGGAGGGGCGACTGAACATGCCATCTGCCGCCCCCACCCGCTTCTGCCGGAGGACAGGTGCCAGCACCCACCGCGGCCCCCGAGGGGATCAGTGTGGCCCCGACATCAGTGGGGGTCGGGGAGCCGGTGGGGTCACAGGAGGGACCCAGGAGCCCCAGGCTAACGCGGCCCCCGATGGTGGGGCCGCACAGGGCCCCGCCCTTCCGCGCCTGCTCCAGCCTGCAGGGTGCTCCAGGCGCCCCTGGCCCACTGGTCCTCCTCCGGGTTGGCCTGCAGGCCAGGAGCTCTGAGTCCACCCGGTGTGGGGCCTCCGTGGTCGCTGCGTCTCTCACAGCCTCTGGGATGGCACATGTTAAATGTAATCACAGGCCAGGAGGCTGCAGGCACATTCACGCCTCCACCTTAGACACCAGCCCTGCCCCACCAGGCACGCTCCTGGGCACCCACATCTCGTGCACAAGTGCCCTCCGGTAAGCCACCCCTGCTCTCCCAGCCCTGCATTTCCACACCCCCTGGGCGGTTCTGCAGCAAAAACCTTTCTGCGAAGCACAGGTGCCCCCAGACCCCCAGCCACCGTGGAGAGGTGGGCAGGATCTCCCCTCAGCCCGGCGACTGGGGTGTGGCCATAACGGGGTCTATCAGGACACACCCTCCAGCACCTGCTCCCCGCTGGAACACCACTGCCAGAAAACAAGTCCTTGTCCTTGGGGAACGTCCACTCCAGGGTGGGTGTGGGGGGCAGCGGCGAGACACAGAATGTCTGGGGAGGACGACACAGACAG